AAATTTCCTATAAAATGCCAGAAGCTTGGACAATAAAGCAGTAAATCGTAACATTATCTCTTTAAATTGCTCACTTATTAAAAAACCCTCAATTTCTATCAATAAAAACAAAAATGTCTACAGCAAGAATTGCAATTAAATGCAGCTGATTTATTTTTATTAATGAAAAAAATACGCAAGAAATGGTGAGATAGAACATATAGAAAGTCGTCAGAATTTTAGTTTAAAAATTTAACTAATGTTTTGAAATGTCCTTAAAAGGTTAATTATTGACAGGTTTAAGTTATAAAATGAAGAACTTAACGTTAGTTACATCTTAGGCATCATCATTGATTTATTAGAAAAAAGTGTTTAACTCCTACAAACTATGTTTGGCAACTTTTTTAAATTTAATTTTTTATTTTTTATTTTTGCTTTTCATATTAGCCAAACACCATATTATGTTAATTTTTATAGGTTAATTAGTATTTAACTCCAAAGTAATAATTTTTAAAAAATCTGTCTTCAGGTTAATTAATTTTGATTTTAAACTAAAAAATACATTGTTTCTAATAAATTCTTCATGAAGATAATTTACAGTGGAAATTATTTTTATAGGCTTCCCAAAACTCAAATAATAGAAATTAACTGATCCAAAAACCCAAGCCTGTTGTCTGTAATAAATAATAATAATAAATAATTTATTTATCTGTAATAAATAAATACTGTAAAAAATGGTTATTAACCTATAATATAATCATGATATTAAAATTACCTAAACTGGCTTTATAATCAAATTTAATTTATGATAAAACGACTAAGAAGCCCAAATAACTAAGACATTGTAAAAAAAAAAAAAAAAAAAATAAGGTCGCAGAAATTTTTAAATACAAGAAATAAACCTGAGTGTATATATGAATACACACAAAAAAAAAGTGAGAGAGAGAGAGAGAGAGAGAGANATTGAGATGGTGAGAGTGAATGAATCAAAATGGTTTTATTTAGTCACTGAATTTGGTCTCTTCTGACCGCTCTTGGAAAAAAAAGGAGAAAACTGAAATCAATATTTTAGCGGAAACAATTCGGTATCGCTAAATGAACCGAGATCCCGGGAGAAGTGGGAAATTTAAAAAAACATGGATCGGAACTATGGAACGGCAAGCTTGCTAAAAACTTGCACTGGACGAAGAAGTGCAAGTGGAATTTTGTATGCTTCCAGAGGCTCATTTAAGGAGGTAGATAGAGAGCAATATTTTGAAGGAGAGGGAAATGGTCACGCTGAAGGAACGAGAATTCTTTTCTCTTAGAGTATAGAAGTCATAATATAGACATTTAAAACAAAAATTGGCCTAACAAACCATGGAAAAAACAGATCGTATCAAGCACGTTTCAAATAATAAACAGAACAACATGTCCATCCGGCCTGGGTCCCCTAAACGTGGAATCATATTTACATGAAAAGAAAGTATGCCACTTGTAAGGAAAAATAGAGGAACTTATTATAGAACAAAGTTTCGACCATGCCAGCTTTAAATTTTTGATCATACAACCATTATAACAAAAATCACACACGTCAAAGATTCTTTAATATTATAATTTTTTAGAACCCAAAGATAGATAAGGATTAACAGGATTTTAATTGTCATAAACAACCCTGTCGTAAATAGTTTAATTAGTTTACCAGAATTTTACCAACATTTGATATCTGTTTTACCATTTGTGATAAGATTGCAGTACTCTTATCAATTTTGCGTTTACCATTGCGTGTACTGGTGTACTGTTGTATACAATGTGCTTGTGAGTTTTATGTGTTGTATATTATCATGTTACACGTGGTTTAATTACGAATAAATCGATGTTTGACGTTCGGTTGAACATGTGCCACTGATCTCACGCGATAGGGCGTCACTGTACCGTGAAGACCCAAGGCGATACTACACAAGTCCGATTTTATGTTTTATGGTTAACAATCGTCGAGAATTAACAGACAAGGCTTAGGTTGGTTCGTTTTTATATTTCCCGCGTATTATTTTTTTCTCGGTGTTTTCTTTTTGTCACACGTGATACAAGAGTCATCTCCCGGAGGCATGATAAACGGCTTTTCAGGATATTTCGGAGGGCATTTTCTCACTTTTTTCTTTTTCTTACGCTCTCTGAAACAGGGATAGACGCACTCGGGTGTCTTTTCCGCCTTTCGATCTTCGTCACTCTTGCATTTCGTCTCGTCTTCAGTGGAAGACCATTTTCCCGTACCGGAGTAGTTCAACACCGAAGGAAAATTCTTGCGAAAATAAGCAAAACGCGTTGTGATCGAGGCCAACATTGTTTTGTCAAAAGTAACTTGAATTTATCTTGATCGTTATGAAACCATGTTTTTGAAAGATGGTAATGCAACAACTGATTTTTTTAAAATGTTTTTTTTATGCTATATAAAAAATTGTAATTGCAACGATTGTGGCGTTGGTTAAATCACCGTGTACGTCTCAAATGGTCGCTGACGTAGGTTTTCCTACTCATTTTACATAGTTAAATAAACAAAATTGTGGATTTTACCTAGAGTATGATATAAACATTTGAAAAATAATCAGCTAGGTAATCGAGAACCTTCTTATATAAAAAAAGACGCGACAAGCCAATTCATATTGAAATTATGTAAGCAGGAAATATAATAACTTAAATAAAAAATAATAAACGCTTGTTTTTTTTCAAGTAGCTACCCAAATATTTATTTTGAATGACATTAACAAATTTCAGCACTTCGAGGGTTTTCCTGATTCCAATTTTTCCAATCTCCTCCTCTCTCTGAGCTGATCTATCAGATTGCACAAGTTCTGATCTTTGTAGCAACCTTTTTTCTTTGGCTTCTGCTCCTCTTTCGAGCCGTCTTCGGACTGAAATGTCAGTTTGCCCTTTTTGTTGTGCTTCCTCTTCATACGTTCCATCATGTCGCAAGGCTTTTTGCAGATGAAGCCCAAGTCAGGGTGTACCGGGCATTCAGGGCATTCGATGAATTTTTTACAGTCTTCCTTTTTTCCACGGGCTTGCAGTCCGGCCAGGCCGATCTTCAAACCTCGTCCCCTTATTAAAGAAGTGCGAAGTGCGCAAAAGCATTTGGGTGCTACATGCATTTTTGATTTTTGTGTAAAATAATTGCCTTGAATTCACGTTTTATATTAAACACATGTTACCAGAATTGACAACATATAAATATAAATTTAAACTATTACGCATCTTCACATCATAGATCTCATTGTCTAGGTCTATTCTAAAGCTTTACGTTACTACTTTTTACCAAAATATATTCAAAAGATTAGACGAATGTCAAGTCGATGTAATAATAAATTTCTTTTGATTTTGCAAGATTTGGCAAGATTTGATATGTCAAAAATTCCTACATTATAGGATTCACTCATATAGCCATATTAGATTGTTGTAAAAAGCCATTTTACAACAGAAGCTTTTTTTATTAAAACCCACACACACAAATTTTGGTACGAGAAAATAGTCTCGAGCCGGAAATAAATAAATCATTTGTCGGCAATCTTAGTGATAAAAGATTAGATAGATTCAATCCTGCGTTGCAGTTACAAATTAGACAAATTGCTAGAACGTAGAAAGGAATCACGCGATAGTACTGATCGTAGCTGTCCGGTGCAGGGTCAATTAATGCCAATTAAATGACAGATTCAGCATCCCCATACAGCAATGAGCCAAAATCACGGTGCTAGGCGGACCAAATAGACAATAGGAAAAACGTCTGCTTATCTCAATTAGTAATCATTTATAGCTCTTAATCTTTTTTTTAAAACAAATTTCTTGAAATTTCCAGCTTATAAATGTAGTTACACGGAATTCTCTTTGGCATTTGAATTTTTATAAAATTTGGTTGTATTGTCATTATGTTTAGGATGTAAAACCTTGTGTATACGTTTACTTTGAATTTTTTCAAATGTAAAATCTCGAATATCCGTTTTCAGATGTACAATCTGACAACGACGAACAAAAATGTTACATTTTTTCAGATGTAAAATCTAGAGTGCCTTTTTTTAAATTTTGTTCCAATGGAAAATCTTGAGTATTTCTTTGATTTTTTTCAAATGTAAAATCTTGAATATCTGTTTTCTTTAAATTTTTCACACGTAAAATCTTGAGTCTACGTTTTCTTTGAATTTTTTCAGATGTAAAATCTGGAGTGCCTTTTTTTAAATTTTGTTCCGATGGAAAATCTTGAGTATTTCTTTGATTTTTTCAAATGTAAAATCTTGAATATCCGTTTTTTTAAATTTTTCAGATGTAAAATCTTAAGTGCCTTTTTTTAAAATTTTGTTCCTATACAAAATCTTGAGTATTTCTTTATTTTTTCAGATGTAAAATCTCGAATATCCGTTTTGTTTAATTTTTTCAGTTTTAAAATCTCGGATATTCGTTTTCTTTGAATATATTTCAGAAGTAAAATCATGAGTGCCTTTTTTAAAAATTTTATTCCGATGGAAAATCTTGAGTATTTCTTGGCCCTGAAGATGATCTCAATAAAGATCGAAACGTTGGCACGATAAAGAAAATGTTTTTCTGAAACCTACATCACACCAGAGCGCATCTCACGATTTCTAAATAAATTTCTTTGTATTTTTTTTTTCAAATGTAAAATCTCGAATATCCGTTTTCTTTGTATTTTTTCAGATGTTAAATCTTGAGCGCCCCCTTTTTTTGAATTTTTTCAGATGTACAATCTCGAATATCCTATTTCTTTCAATTTTTGTCAGGTATAAAATCTTGATTATTTCTTTGATTTTTTCAGATGTAAAATCTCGAATGTACGTTTTATTTTATTTATTTTTTTAAATATAAAATCTAGAATATCCGTTTTCTTTGAATTTTCTTTTCAGATGTAAACTTTTGTATAAACTTTTCTCTGAATTTTTTTCAAAAGCAGAAACATACATCCTAATATAAATTCACGTTGATTTTTTTAAAAGATAAATAATTGAAGGAGAACAACTAGTGAAAAGCTTAAAACTTACCCTTGATTGCTGTCGACAGAAGCTTGGTCACCGGACGGGCTTAATTCTGGTTCTTCTTGAAGAGGGCTTTCGTATATTAACGTTTCCACCATGGAACCTTTAGAACTTCCAAACGAAACCCTAAAATAAAAAAATATACATTTAAAAAAAATGAAGAATTATAAAAAAAAAATAAATAGCACTGTAACATATAATCTACAAAAAATATTTTATAATCCTTACTTAAAAAAAAAAATTAAATGTAAAGAAAAGACCAAATTTTGACGCGAAAGAGCGAAACCTACCGCATGTCAAACGTATTGTGCCGTTTGCCGTCGAACGAAGAACTGGGTTGGAAAGACAGTGCCGCGCAACACGATTAGCATAACCAGTTATCTAGAGAATTGGAAAGGGGGTGATGTCATGTCAGGCTATTAAGTAAGTACAAATTTTAACCGTGCAATTTTTTCAATATTAATTTTCTTTCTTAATTTATTAATACATAAACTTATCTTAAACAATACATAAACAAAACTGGCGGGACTAGCGTCAGCTACAAAGACAGACAAACAAAAATCTGTTTCACTTTACGACAGCTATTGAATAAAGAAGACACACTTCTGCAATTTCAGAGAACAATAGCTTATGACATTTGTATTTGTGCCAGCTAACAATGGTATCAGATCGTTGATGGAAAGTCTGATTATTATCATTTATTATAGGAGAAGAAGATTAAAGTCACAGAGTTCACGAGACCTATCTCTAAATCAGTTTTTTAAGGTATTTTAAGATAATTATAACTACAGGAAAACTTGTCCAAACAATATAGATCTCCATCGTAGATTAGTTAATTAATAGCTGGATTCAGAAATTTTACTGTTGAATAAACATGTTTGTTTTTACTATCTGTGTATCCAGCATAGCTCGACATTTAGATTCGATCTGTTAACTCGTCCAATTGACCTCGCCCTATTCCGTTTCTATGTAACGACCATACATGAAAAAAAAATCTGTTTTGTAACCTGGTAAGTTAATTTTACAATTTAAATACTGAAATAGCTTTTTCTCGTTATTGTACGGCGGTTAAGAACAAAAATGTTTAAACTAACATGATTTGTCACGAGTTGAATTTTTTACTTGATACTCGTGGTCCATCAATTTTTACTTGTTTTTAAATAAAAATACGAATTAGAATTATTTCATACTATTCCTTACAGATTTCAGTATTAGAAGTTTCGACAACTTTTTCACTTATGAAAACTTTGGATCAAGTTATGTCATGAAGAAGAAGAAAGCACCTAATGTCAAACTTTCGACCTATTTTAAGGTCATCATCAGGGGAAAAGAACCTTAAATATATCTACAGATTGTCATATTTAATTTTTTTTTGCAGGTTACAGTCTTTGGCAATGTTGGGACTGAATCGATCTTCAAGGAAATTTGAGATCGCCTGTAAAAAAAAATTAAATTTGTCAATCTATAGACATGTTTAAGGTTTTGCCCTGATGATGACCTTAAAATAGGTCGAAAGCTTGGCATTAGCAACTAAATTCGCTTTCTTCTTCGTCAAAGCCATTACTTGCAGATAAGAAACTGATCAAAAAGCTTGGACTCGAAACTTCTGTCATATTTTACTTTTAATCATACTCTACCATAAGGACAAACTAACAATATAACATAGAATCCTAACCTAAGCTGTTTGACAGGTCTATGGGGTACAATATATTCTACCACGTCACACTTAACCACTCACGCAAATAAATACATTCTTACAACTAGAAACTTTCAAACCATATGTACAATTTGAAATTGAGGAGGCACCGAGGTATTCGATACTTCGCCGATGTCCTGCCGTTCTGTCACTTTACTCTCTACATTAAAAGCCTAACTAGTTTGGTAAATCTGTGAGGAATTTTATATTCGACAGTAGATCTGTCTATACATCAATAAATACATTCACACTCTTAAAACAAATACTAGCCACATCGATTTTAGATATCCAACGGATTTATCTTTATAGTCAAAGTTATTTTTTTACTTTTGATATAAATATTTTTAGGTACACCTTAGTAAGATTTTTGCGTGTTGTTAACACACTCTTCTAAAATATGATTGACTGTCACATAGGTAAAATTTGAGCATTTTTTTGAGGAATAGTCGGTGTACTTAATTAAGTTTATAGGCATTCAACTAATTATTGATTAGGTGTATGCAATCATCAGAAACCTAGCATGAAAGACATGTTCATTGTTTTAATACAATTCCTAAAGTTTAGAATTGTCGATCATTGATAAATATTTAATACAGGTTTTAAGATCATGCCGAAAAAAATTGACATACGGATGAGATTAAAGCCCAATATAGCAAAACACATAACCTTGACACATCAAAACGATGCAATCAGCCTTTTTGTTTTATTTTAAAATCACACATTTCTTCTTATCTCTCGTCAACAGCTTGTTCATACGTGATTTATTCACAAATGCAGTCGGACTGCATGAGCGGTACTGTCACTTTAAAAACTGTTATTGAAAGGAATCTGCGGACTGCCATTAGGCTGGGCATTTCACCCTGTAAAACATGTAATTTTCCATTTAATGTATGTAAAAATTTCCTTTCAGAGGGAACAGAGTATAAAAAATGCGCATCCTCGGCGAGACAGTTAAATAACTTATAATGTATGATTCACTGGGCACGTAGCTAGATTAATGCTAGATTCGCAAATGTACTCGGTGTTTTCCAATTTTCCGTGTTTCCTGTGCATAATTTTTTCCTTAGAGTTGTTTCTTCGCGGTTTCAAAAGACTGATAATCCTGGACCGCTGATGGTTAATATTATAAGGATACGGAAACAACTATAGGACTAATTACTTGAATTGATTATTGCAATGAAATAATAAATAAAGTAGAAATGTCCGAGAGTGTGTAAGCCGTTGATGGTTGATCAAACAGCTGATAAGTAGAGATAAATGTTTGAAACAATATTTTGTAATCTTTCCAGTGTGAATTTTAATTTCAACTAATTTTATTGTTATATACTTGCCCCTCTATTCATTTTTAAAACGTTAAAAATTTATTTGGATTACATTAGACTCTAAATAACAAATGAAAGAAACAACACTCAGTATTTTGTAAGTAATGTGCTCAGAGATGCTAGGCGGGCCACGGTACATCTTGAGGGGATGTATTTTACCTGTTGAAAAGTACCCGAAATCTGTGCCGCTACCTCAACGCCATGCGTCTGTCGGCTGTGCTGTGCTGCGTCCCGTCTCAATTTGAGATGATCCATTCATTTCTTTATTGTGCAAAAGGCGGCGTTACATCGCGGCACACGAGGTCGCACTTCAATATGCGCCTTGCCATTTGAAAAAATAAAGCACAGATGAAGGAAACAAAGACTAAGCATTTGAAAGCAGAAGAGTTTTAAAGCGCACAGCGATACTATCTAAACCGACTTCTATCTTCTATAGACATAAGGACGAAAAATTGTACACAGGTAAGTACAAGGCTTTGTCAAGAAAAACGCAATATGAAACAGACGAAATCATCTATAAACAGGAAAATGCCAAAATGTACAGGACTGTTAGGCGGACCATGTTCTATTTTGTGCAGAAGACGATAGGTTATACTACTTTCATGATACATCAGTTCTAGTTCTTAATCCATCTTTTCAACGTTAAAAAATCGCATTGTCTTATTTTTCTGTTTACATTTGAACCTAAAATAAAACACAAATGGAAGAAAAAAAGACAAACTAAGAATCTGAAGACAGAAGTGCGTCAAAACGCACAGCAATACAAGTAAACCGGCTTCAATCTTCTGTAGACATTAAGAAAAATTGCTTGTGTTCAGTTCTAGGTTTCAGAAATGTTTTGTAAATTCATGAAAACCCATGCTATTCTGCTTTCTTTGATCGTAAAACAAACGCAATATGAAATAGACAAAATCATCTAGGCGGCCCATGTCCTATTTTGGGCAGAATACGATACGTTATATTACTTTAATGACACATCAGTTATAGTTTTTATTCCGTCTTTTCCACTTTCAAAAATCCATTAATTAGAAAAGGGAGCGCGCTACATCGCGTCACGTCACACGCGCCGGTCGCTCCTCAGTATGCGCCATGCTCACTTCTAGTTCTTAATCCGACTTTTACACTTTGCAAAATCGCATTTTCTTATCTTTCTGTTTGCATTTGAACTTAAAGCACAAATGGAAGAAACAAAGACAAACTAAGCATCTGGAGGAGTGCCGAAATTAGGTAGACCGCGTATCTTCAGTAGACGAAAAACTGTTCAATTCTAGCATTAAATACGTGTTTTAAATGTACCAAGAAAATTTTTTTGGGAACAATCTGGCGAAACTAAGCCTTGAATTTTTTTAAAATAAAATTATTATATACTGAACTTCTTCGGACATTGTTGTACAGACAATATGTTATTTATATAAATATGTATATCGCAAAACATATGTAATAATCCAGCATGTAACAGAGCAAGTTCAAGAAGGAAAAAATTGAAAAAATTACAAAAAAATTTGAAAAAATGAGTTCAAACCGTTTGTTGGCTTTCTTCGGCGACAGTTTGGTAACGAAAAGCTCCAAGAATTCCCTGATGTACCAAATGGAGCCACCGTACGGCAACAGCCGTTCTAAGAGCCAGTGGACTAAAAAGTGCAAACTGGAACCGCCGATCAAGTGCGAAAGGGCGCCGACGATTTGCGACTATTTCACGTCGACGGAGTGCTTCCAAAGGCGTAAGGACTACCTCTCCCGGTGCATCTCGCTGAAAGGCTGCGGAGAGCTTTTAAAAAAGCAAAACCTAAACCTGGTCGGGAGGTTGAAGAGAGCAAGAAGAAAGTATAAGGATTGCTACGATAACGATACGCAGTGTCCTGGAAAAGGGAAAAAATGAACGAGGTACCTTCGGACAAACACTCGTTGGACAATAAAAACTTCAATTTGACACTTTCTGTTGTTCTTTGTCGTCAATGGAAATTATTTAATTTTGATAAATCCTTTAAGCTCGTCGTTTCCGGTCATTTCGCTCGGTATGTCAGATTATATTCAGTGTTGAGTGTGTATAATAGATATCTCAAACGAATAGACCTATAAACAAGGCAGAATGACAACAGATCAACTGC